ACCATGGTGGCCATTTAGAAGTCGGCCATCTTGGATACAACGTTTGTTTTTTCAATAGGAAGAGGGCCATGTGACACATCAAACTTATTGGTAATGTCACAAGAAAAACAATGGTGTGCTTGGTTTCAACGTAACTTTATTCTTTCATGAGTTATTTACAAGTTTCTGACCACTTATAAAATGTGTTCAATGTGCTGCCCATTGTGTTGGATTGTCAATGCAACCCTCTTCTCCCACTCTTCACACACTGATAGCAACACCGCAGGAGAAATGCCAGCACAGGCATCCAGTATCTGTAGTTTCAGGTGCTGCACATCTCGTATCTTCACACCATAGACAATTGCCTTCAGATGACCCCAAAGATAAAAGTCTAAGGGGGTCAGATCGGGAGACCTTGGGGGCCATTCAACTGGCCCACGACGACCAATCCACTTTCCAGGAAACTGTTCATCTAGGAATGCTCGGACCTGGCACCCATAATGTGGTGGTGCACCATCTTGCTGGAAAAACTCAGGGAACGTGCCAGCTTCAGTGCATAAAGAGGGAAACACATCATCATGTAGCAATTTCAAATATCCAGTGGCCTTGAGGTTTCCATTGATGAAGAATGGACCCACTATCGTTGTCCCCATATACCACACCAAACCATCACTTTTGTTGTTCCAACAGTCTTGGAGGGATCCATCCAATGTGGGTTAGTGTCAGACCAATAGCGGTGGTTTTGTTTGTTAACTTCACCATTCACATAAAAGTTTGCCTCATCACTGAACAAAATCTTCTGCGTGAACTGAGGGTCCTGTTCCAATTTTTGTTTTGCCCATTCTGCAAATTCTGTGCGGATCTGGGTCATCCTCGTTGAGATGCTGCAGTAGCTGGAGTTTGTAAGGGTGCCATTTGTGAGTAGCTAATATCCGCCGAAGGGATGTTCGACTAATGCCACTCTCCAGTGACATGCGGCGAGTGCTACGCTGTGGGCTCTTGCTGAATGAAGCTAGGACAGCCACTGATGTTTCTTCATTAGTGACAGTTTTCTTGCGTCCACATTTTGGCAAATCCAACACTGAACCAGTTTCACGAAACTTAGCAAGCAGTTTGCTGACTGTAGCATGGGAGATGGGTGGTCTCGTAGGGTGTCTTGCATTGAAATCTGCTGCAATGACCCGGTTACTGCGTTCACCAGATATCAACACAATTTCGATCCGCTCCTCACGTGTTAACCTCTTGACTGTCAATGGCTGTGAACAAACGAGAAACTCTGTAATAGACTCCTATGAAATGAAAGCATGGATGGCAAACAACTTTTTAAATTTTAATGATCGGAAGACAGAAGCAATTTTATTTGGCCCAAATCGTTCTTCTCATACTCTGGATGTTGATCTTGCAGCTTTGACTTCCCAACTAAAGAGTTCGATCACAAATCTCGGAGTTAAAATTGATTCTGCACTCACCTTTGATGACCATGTAAACGGGGTGGTAAAATCAGCATTTTATCACCTCAGACGTTTATCAAAGGTTAAGCCCTTTCTTTCCAAGCGTGACTTGGAAAGCGTTATTCATGCCTTTATTACCTCACGTTTAGATTATTGTAATTCTCTTTTAACAGGGGTTGGGCAGGGCACTTTGTCACGCTTGCAATTAGTGCAAAATGCTGCGGCACGATTTTTAACTGGTAGAAGAAAATTTGATCACATCACTCCGATTTTGGCCTCTTTACACTGGCTTCCAATTGAATTCAGGATCCGTTTTAAAGTCCTTTTATTGGCTTTTAAATCTCTAAATGGTCTGGCACCTGTTTATTTGTCTGATTTGTTGAAGCCCCACGTCCCCACTCGTTCCCTTCGGTCAGCTGAGCAGTTGCTGCTTTCGGTCCCAAAGTCACGGCTGAAACTTAGAGGAGACCGAGCGTTCTCTGTTGCGCACCGATGCTTTGGAATAACCTTCCTCTCCATATTAGACAGGCTGCATCAGTGCCAGTTTTTAAGTCTTTATTAAAAACCTATTTTTATTCCCTGGCTTTTAACTCTGTGGGTAACTGATTTTATTTTATTTTTTATTTTTTTATTTTATTGTTTTTTAACTTTATTGCTATGTCTGGTTTTATTACTATGTGCATATTAGTATTGTACAGCACTTTGGTCTACCAGGTGTGTTTTTAAAGTGCTATATAAATAAATAAATGAATGATGATGATGATGAAGAATGAAAACGTTACGTTGAAACCAAGCACACCATTGTTTTTCTTGTGACATTACCAATAAGTTTGATGTGTCACATGGCCCTCTTCCTATTGAAAAAACAAAAGTTGTATCCAAGATGGCCGACTTCTAAATGGCCACCATGGTCACCACCCATCTTGAGGAGTTTGCCCCCTCACATATACTAATGTGCCACAAACAGGACTTTAATATCACCAACCATTCCCATGTTATTACGCTGTATCCATATAAATGGCCCACCCTGTAGAATGCAGAGATGATCGTATGATCGTTGTCCGGTCTTCTTCCTCTAGCCCCCCACCCCGCCCGGAACAGGATTTTCCAGAGGCTTAATATCCAAGTGTCTTCAGGCAATATACTGAACCCTGGGTTTCCTCTAATGTGTGTGTGTGCGCGTGTGTTTGTGTGCGTGTGAGTGTGTGTTTGTGTGCGTGTGTACGCGCGCGTGTTTGTGTGCGTGTGCGTGTGAGTGTGTGTTTGTGTGTGTTTGTGTGTGTGCACGCGCGTGTGTGTTATTAGGTGAGGCTTGTTGGCATTATATGCGTACCAGTCGAGTGTTCCTCTCATGTGGCTGATGTGATCACACACAGATCTATTTCTTGACTCTTCATTTGTCTCCAGCACCTTACACTGCTGAGCTCTCCTCACCAGATGAGGTGGCAGGAAATGTGCAAAGTGGACGCAGCATGTTGCTTTCATGGGACCTCAAAACTTCCTGTATCTCAGACATAACAGGCCATTATGGAAGTCATCATAGTGACACTACTGTAGTGTTGTCGGTTCATTCACAGCATAAACGGACTGGTTCTCTTTGAGATTGCATTTAGATTAGTTTAGTAAAAATGCCAGTGCAGCAACTGCACCATTCAGCTGTACTGTAAACAGGAGTTTGTGATGATGCACACACAGATTTACACTTGATGTGCACAAATTCACCAAAACTGAATCAAAGATCATTTAATCTTTAATCTCCTAGATAAAAGGTCAGTCTTAATTATTTATGACCACTTTATAACACTCCCTTTCTTCCTTCATCCTCCTGTACCATCGCAATATTATGAAGGTCATTTCTGTTCTCAGTCCTTTAGCCCATGGGTTCTTGTGTGACAGAAGCAGATATATTAAGTAAAAGGGGTGAAGCGACACCGTTAAGCTGCTGTTGGTGCCAAAAGCCATCTGAAGATTATTAAGCAAATGGCTCTCTGTTGGATCCATACTCTCAACATCCTATTAAACAACTCAAGTCTGCAGGTTGCTGGGATCAAAAGGAAGCTCTCCCTTTTTGTATTAAGTGTGTGACACACATGTACAGCCTCGTCGGTGGACACGCACACACAGTTCAGACCATTAAAGCGCTGTGATGACTCTTCAGAAGGCAGATTTTAAACTGAAGGAAAATAACCAAAAGAAAAATGACACTTAGCTGTGTGTGGCTTCATTTAAGCACCAAAGTCACTCAGTCTGCTTCGTGTGATCGGTAAATGAACCGGTTTTTTTCTCCTCTCAGGAGCTCAGTCTGGGTAGAGCTTTTTTTCTCCTCCTCTCTTGTGTATTTCATAGTTTTTCTCTGACCTGTCTTCCCAATGTGATGTTTGTACAATGTGTGTATGGTCGGTAACATGTACATGTAATGATGCAAGTGACAACTGAAGGCATAATCAATCAATCAAAGCGTTTTAAACAGCATGCCTCATTCACCCATTCACACAGGCACGATATTCTGCACTTCAGTGCTTTCACACACATTCATTGGAGAGCAACTTTGGGTTTAGTTCCTTGCCCAAGGATATTTGGCATGCAGCCTGGACCTGCCAGGGATCGAACCACTGATTAGCAGATGACCTGCTCTACCTCCTACAGCCAGCCTGTCTGCACGAACACTAGCTGCTCGTTCAGGACCTATTAGAACTGAAAGGTTTTACACTAGCTCCAGTAAACTAGGCCCTGTTTACTGGTACTCAATCAAGCCCATCGTTGCCATAGTCATGAAATCCTTAGCTGGCAAAAGTAAAATACGGACACTGGGCACTCCTCCTTCCCAGAGGTGTGTGTCAATGATTGTTAGCAAAGAAACCAATAACTTCATAAATATCAAGATCATTTTTAAAGCTCTTAGAAAGCTGAAAAATAGGAGTTGTACAAAAATATTTGTGCTTCTCCAAAATGTCCATGTGAAAGTAATAATGGATTGGATTTATATAGCGCTTTTCAAGGCACCCAAAGCGCTTTACAATGCCACTATTCAGTCACTCTCACATTCACACACTGGTGGAGGCAGCTACAGTTGCAGCCACAGCTGCCCTGGGGCAATCGGCCCCTCTGACCAACACCAGTAGGCGGTAGGTGAAGTGTCTTGCCCAAGGACACAACGACCAGGACAGAGAGCCCAGGGATTGAACTGGTGACCATCCGGTTACAGATACGCTTCCCAACCCCCTGAGCCACGGTAACCAAAGTAACCAAAAGGAGAAACTGCACATGATGCAGCAGCCTGAACATGTTGTCCTGTGCCTCCACTCTGCACCAGTCTTCAGCAAGCATAACACAACACAAGTCAAATTAATGAGAATACAGTGTAAAAAAAAGTCTGAATACTGTGTTTGAACAGGAAGGGCAGCAATGACCACTCACATTTGTGTTGAGGTGGCAACAGAATATCCACTGGAAAACTTAGTTTCACTTAAAAACGTCTTTAAATTTAGGAGCGCTGAACTTTGTTATGGACAGATTGTCAATGACCACATAAAGAAACAGGAAGAACTGATTTGAAAAAATGTTTTTTTTTTAAAAATAGCTTTATTAATGTAATTTTGATAAATTACAAATGTTACTGACATGCTGGTGTAAAGCAGGTTGATAGTGTGGTACAGTCTGGAATGAAAGTGTTTGGCTAAATTAGCAGTATGCAGTACAAAGTTAGCTCCGGTCAGTAACAGGTTAACTAAACACACCATCAGGAAACAGGAACAAACCAGTCTCTTTCCAAAGCTATACCAGTCCTTGTTTGAATAATATAATATTACAAACCCAGCTTATTACGCTTGACTTTAATTTGATTGCTTTCACAGAAAATTATTGTTTATAAAAAAAAATAATAGTGCAAAGGATGAAAAAACACAAGCAGACAAACATTAATATTTAGGGTTAGAATGCTGGACACCAAAATACTTATAATAATAATTTTTGGCAAATGTTTTTAGGTTTTTGGTCGTCGTTATTCAGCCATAGAATGAGTGTTATCATAAACAAACCAACGTGATTCGATTTATATGAGTAAACCTAACCCTAACCCTGAAACAAGCCCCTGTTAGAAGACAGCTGTTAACAGTGAAATCAAATATCAAGTCTTCTGATTTGTCACAGATTTGAGTTTTAATAGTGTTTCATCCTGTGTTGGTCGCTAACTTATCATATTTTGAGTTTTAACGAATAATTTCAGCTATGCAATAAATATATGAAAATTCACAACACGCCTGCTATGCAGTATTCATGGCAGCACAAGCAAACACAGCACAGCTAAAACACAGGCAGACTAAAAACATCAAACTTTACCAGTTTGACAACAAGTTCAAGAGTTACAGAAAATGAAGGTGAACAATGAAATGAGCTGAAGACTAAACTGTTCCCATGGAACCATGGCTGACTGTGACCTACACCCGTTTCCTACACCTTGGCTCGTGTGATTAGGTAGGGGGTCCATTGCCCCTCTTGGGGGGGACACTCCCACAGGGCTTAAATCTGTGACTCTCCACAATTTGACCCTAGAACTGAAGAAGCTTCTTGGATGAGAGGTGAAATGTCTTCAAGCAACTTAAAGAAGTCCAGAGGCTTTTCTTTCCGAGCTCCGTAGACTAAGATGACCTGGATGACTGAGGCTTCACAGACATGTTCCCATGGAAGTGACACATGGACACCTGCTATGAAATGACTGAAGTAACAGTAGTAATATTTGCATTTCAAATATTCTGATCACATGATTCAGACATTATTCCATCTTAAAGTCCTAAGTTTAGGTTAAGATCAAATCATTCATTCATTTATTCAGTAGAAAGTAAATAAAATACTTTCAAATGCTGCATTACTACATATGCTTTACAGAAAAGTTCTAAACCTGTTTAAACATGATGCAATCAGCTGCAGTGTCAGAGCTATGTGTGCAGACACGGATAAAGCCTGCTTCTCTTTCTGGGTCACCTCTCATTCGTGATGATGACAGATGTGCCAGTGCAGTGTGGGGTCTCTCTGTGGCTCTCAGGAGATGAGCTGGAGCTGGGATTCTGGCTAGTACAGTTGTAAGACACCATCTCTTTACCTTGGTAACAATGGCCATCTGTTATATTGCTCAGTGAGGCAAAAGGGGAGGCCTTAATAGGACCAGGTTTGCCCAAGACTTGATGAAAGTTTAAAGACATATATGGAGCTCCTATACCTGTCAGCATTCTTGTGTCGTCTGCAGATCTGGACTGTGGCTCCGTGGCAGCTCCAAACTGCTGCTGGTCGTCAGCAGGTTGATGATATTCTGCAGCAATGTGACTGTAAGGGGTCTCCATCATACAGAGCATCTTCTTCTGCTCAAGCACTATCTGCACAGGGAGCGACTGGCCTATGCCATGCAACAAGCCACCATGCTCACCTTTACCAAGTACCAGGCTGCTGAGCACAGGGCAAGCCAGGGCCCTGTCACCTTTTGCATAATGTTGCATGTCCTGGTTTAAAGCTTTACTCCCCTTTGCGGCATGAGGCTGGGCATGTGGACAAACTTTGCTATGGACGAGTGTGTAATGTTCACAGAATTCGTCCTTTAGCTTGCTGTTTGAAAGAGGGTTCATTCCACTGGGACAATCATCCTGGTACCCACGGTCAGCTGCCAGTACAGGCCCTATTAAAGAGAAGACATGTTCAGAAGTTGGCTTGCACCTTAATTAAAATGACATGAGCACTCTGCTGAATGGCTCCTAAGGAGTTTACAGTGTTATTCATAAGATGTCAGACTGTCAGTGTTTTAATGAATCCACCTATGATGTTATTGACAAATGCATGTTTCCCTGAGCTTGCATTCACTACTGCAACTAAGCTTTAGTTTAACATTCTTCCATTCTGAAAACAACATGAATTGTGTGGATATGAATATGGACTTGCAAGTTAAAGCTACAGCTTTCTGTTGTTGGTGCAAGTGGCAATGCCATTGAAAGCCTATCTGTAACACTGCAGAGATCAAGAGGACCGAATGCATTTCAGAATAGCATCAGCTTTACAAGCTGGCTAACCTGGAAAACACAGAACAATTCAGAAAAACACCAGACTACAAAAAATTATTCTGTTGGCTTTAATATGGACTTCCTACTTGTGTTTGTGTAGTCTGGAATTTGTTCAGAACCAGAACTCCAGACCCTCAGTCCTCACTGGACCATTATATTTCAAACAGCTTGTGAAGCCCAACTCCTTTGCCACTGCTTTCACCAGTTGCCTCTTCAGGAGAAACTTAACTGCTGTTTCCCTGTGTACAGATTGTTCTGCATGGAGCCAGCAAGCTATTTTGTGTTCTTGGGAGACCTGTTTGTGGGCACCTTTGCCATCAAGCTGCCTCTTCTAAGCCTGGACATGAAGCGATGGAAAAATACATACTTCTAGCTGCTGGGCTCACTCACCCGTCTTCCTGACCTCACAGCGCAGGCTTTTTCTTTTTGGGAAAAAAAGATCTGAATGACAAAATTCATCAACCACTGGGAGGTGGCACGAGCATTCTTTATCCCAAACGGTAGCACTTTAAACTGGTATAAGATATCATAAGCCACAAATGCTGACATCTCACAAACACGTTCTGTCAGTGGTACCTAACAGTACCCTTTCAAAAGATCAGCCTTACGTACTTGGTCAATGCAGTCTTCCAGCCGAAGTATGGGGAAAGCATCTGAATTCGTGACATGACTGACCTTCCTAAAATTCACCTTCCAAAAATGATCTGGCCTCCCCTCCTTAGCAGCTAACAGTACAGGTCAGCTCCACGCCCCATCTGCTGGCTCAATCACACCAATCTGGAGCATGTAAAGCACTTCCTCCTTCGCCACCTTCCATTTGTGAGGGGACAGATGATGCGTGTTGTTTGATTGGGACTGCCTCTCCCACATCCACATCATCAACAATCCTATCAGATATTCCAGGCACATCCTGAAATAGCTCAGAATAGCAGTCAACTACCTCCTGCCTCTGGCACTCAGTCAAGTGTTTCAGCTCTTCCGCAAGAGCTGCTCTGGCCTCTGCGTTATATAGTCTGGCATTAACAACCTCAGACCCACATAGCAAGCAGGTCTGGCCCAGATTGGTGTCATTGCAGAGTGTATGTCAACCAGATGTGCGCCATGTCTGACAATGATGGCGCTATTTATGTTCCTTTTTTCCTATTTTAGTTAGAAGACCCAAATGCCATGTTGCAATACTATACTGCTATGGCAGCCAACGTTTCAAATGCAGATTTGACAGGTTTGTGAGTGTACACTTTATCCAAAACCTAGTGAGGGTTTACTCATGTTTGCCAGTGAGTGGCTGTAGCTCAGGAGGTAGAGCAGGTCACCTACTGATTGGAAGCTTAGTGGTTCGATCCCTGGCTCCAACAAGGTCCAACAAAGTCAACCATTATGTGAGCAAAAGGCTCATTCTCAACTGGAAAAAGTTGTAATGGTGTTACTGGATTAGATACACTTGGCTCTTCGACAACCTGACAAACATGGCAGCGGCACCAAAATAATTTCATATCCTTCCACATACTAGGCCAATATAGGTGTTGGCTAAGTTTCTCCAAGGTTTTCTTTGCAGCCATGTGTCCAAACAATGACACATGCACCAACTGCAAAACCTCCTGGCGACAACACTTTGGCAAAACGACTTGTTCTGTTGTGGCCCGGTCCTCATCAGCTGGCCTAGAAGGAGACCTCCACTTCCTGGACAATGTGTCATTGTGAAAATAGTAACACTTTGGCACATCTTTAGCCTCCTGCACTTACTGCTGACCTCATGGCATGTTCCAGGGAAGGATTATTCTGCTGCTTCTGCACCAGAGACTCCCAATTCAGAGGGTCCTCCTCATGTTTTACTCACATGACCTGTTTATCTCTTCTGACGGCTGTGAAGAGCACCCATTCCTGGGTCATCACCTATACCACCACATGCTTTATTCCCATCAACAGATTGCACATCACAGCCATTCCAAGTGCTTAATAGGGAATCAGAGAGGTTAGTAAAAGGGTGGTTCACAGGGGGGCCACACATGCAGGAAAAACTTCAGGAAACTCCAGCTCTCTTGTCTTGGGGGAATCCACTGCGTAATCACTGACAGACAGAGCAACTTTAACCCAGGCCACATCATTGGCCATAATCAAATCGATAGATCTAAAGGAGAGATTTGTGACTCTGCTACATTACAAATCCTGTAACCAGCTCAGATCTCAGGTAAAGCTTGTATACCTGCAGGATTTCATGACCCCTCCTACACCTCGCACAGTGGTGAACTGTGGGAGACAGTGGCCTCAGACATAAATCCATCATATCCCTGTAGTTCATTGAGAGACTCCCGAGCTATTGTTACAGAAACCTAGACTATAAATCAAATTAAATAAAAACGTAACCTTTGTATTTGTTGGCTGCTGTGGAGTTGCTGATGTTCCATCCATCAGCCCCTTTACTATGCAGGGAGCCGATGATTTGTTGAGATAGCTGAGAGGAGGGAACTGAGCTGGGCAGCTGGCTCTGAACGTTCAGATGCTGATGATGGGATGGGTAATGGAGAGTCAGATTGTAAGTGGGGCTGCAGGACACCTGAACTCCTTCAGGTCTCAGGTTGGTTCTCGTCTCCCTGCAAGGGGTCATTGGGTACAGGGATCTGTCTTTCAACATCCCCTTTTGTGACGAGCAGTATGAGAGGTCCGGCTGGAAGAGGCGAGGAGCCTTCTGATGTTCATAAAAAATACAGGGAAGGTTATTATCTTAGGATAACACTTTATTTCAGTATTTATCAAAGTAGCTCTGTAAGACAATAAAATATTTGATTATCTTTTTCCTACTAGATCCCTTGTAAGTCAAAAATGGTTTGAATTGGTCTTTGTTCGCTGTAATCATCAGGATCAAAGCTCTTCTGAGTAAAATTCAGCAGAAGCTTAAATGACATCTCAACTTATTCACTGTCGGTGGGTAAAACATTCTGTGTTAGTTCAGAAAGTATTCAGCACTTCATGTGCTTCAGTGTTTGTCATATTCTAAAACTGAATCCTTATTCTAAAATTTTATTTTTCATCTCGAGATTCTACACACAATACCCCATAATGACAACGTTAAAGAAATTGCTTCAAAGTCTTGCAAATTTAGTAAAATTAAAGAACAAAAACATAACACGTACATTATGTACCTGTTGTACATCTTGTTTCCACTGTTCATCTATCAAATGTTTCTACAACTTGATCAGAGTCTACTTGTGGTAAATTCAGTTGATTGGACATTACATGTAATTGGATTGGAAAGTACATGTAACACATTTTAATAGTTGGGATACAGATTTGAATATTTTCATGGGTACTGGACCACTGAACTTGCATTTCTTCACAACCTTAAAATCTCAACATGAATAATCACTTACATATATAATACAAAAAACCAATTACATCAACAAAATAATAAACAGAATACACCCCCAGCGGATGTGACTCAGCCCACATCTCTAAGTTGTGTGAGTCCAGCAATAAAATCTCTTCTTGTAGAATGTGCAAAGGAGCAGTGAAGTGCAACTCTGTCCTGAGACTTAAGTAGAATTTGTAAAGTTCATGGCTTGTCCAAAGAATTTCAGTTTCTTCTCAGATCAATCATCTCAACAAATCCTGGAGGGATGGCTCGCCATCTTTGGACTGGTACACCCAAAAAACCTGAGAAAAGTAAACAACAAAACGGGTTCTCCTGAACCCTCAAATAGGCGAGGGTGCGGCGTCATAGCACAACCAGAAGAATCCCAGCAATAATAAAACTCTCCTCCAACTAAACAACAGTTGCCTGGCAGCTTGTTTCCTCAGCAAAATCCCACTAAAGAGGCAACAACGTTTCTCACTCAGAGGACCACACTTTTTTTCTCCCCCCTCTTCTTGGTCTCCGTAGCTGCTTCAGGTAAAATGCAAGGAGGCAGTACTCCCAAACTGTGTACTTTACAGACCATTGGGACATCATAAACACCAGCTCTTCAGTTATTTAAAAAATAATTTTACTTAATTAAACTTGATAATGAAAAAAAAAGTCAACCTCAATGATAATGCACTGAAACCCTTAGTAACTAGGGTTACACCCACACCTGTCTATGTAAGGTCCCACAGTTGACAGTGCATGTCAGAGCACAAACCAAGCCATGAAGTCCAAGGAATTGTCTGTAGAACTCCAAGACAGGGTTGTACCGATGCAAGGGTCAGTCTGACAGAGCTCCGCTTGATCTGTGGAAAGAGGAGACCTTCCAGACAACCATTTCGGCGGCACTCCACCAATCAGGGCCTGTACGGTAGAGTGGTCAAGGTGGCCATTCCTCATTAAAAGGCCCATGACAGCTAACTTGGAGTTTGCTAAACAGCACTAGAAGATTGTCAGACCATAAGAAAAAACATTCTCTGGTCTGACACGACAAAGACTGAACTTTCTAGTGTCATGTCTGGAGAAACCAGGCTCCGCTCATCACAAATCCGTACAGTGAAACTTGGTGGCAGCATCATGTTCTGGGAATTCTTTTCATCACCAGGAACTGGGAGACTGTAATATAACCACTGTGTGGCATGCAGCCAGGAAGTGGACCCCAAAGCAGGACTTGTCATAAGACAAGACTTAAATTTATAACAACTGGCAACTGACAGAAACTGGGTTTCTAAATATGAGGAAAACGCAATGCAGAAATAATACCTAAAACTCCAAATGCTGGGTCCCAGTCCCAGGATCAAGACCGAGATTAGTCAAGGTTGAGGGAAAGATGAATGCAGCAGTGTGCAGCAGTAAAGAGTTGCTGTAGCACAGCTGGTAAAGCAGGTCGCCTACTAATCAGAGGGTTGGTGGTTCAATTCCAGTCTGTATGCCAGACTAGGGCAAAATACTAACCCCAATTTAGAGTCTGAATGTGTGTGAATGTTAGGAGTACTGACATAGAAAAAAAGTCCATCCATCCATTCGCTTCCTCTTATCCTTTTCAGGGTCACGGGGGGCGCTGGAGCCTATCCCAGCTGTCATAGGGCGAGAGGCAGGGTACACCCTGGACAGGTCGCCAGTCTGTCGCAGGGCTAACACACAGGGACGAACAACCATTCACACTCACATTCACTCGCACATTCACACCTAGTGACAATTTGGATTAATCAATTAACCTATCCCCACAAGCTGCATGTCTTTGGACGGTGGGAGGAAGCCGGAGTACCCGGAGAGAACACACGCAAACAAGGGGAGAACATGCAAACTCCACACAGAAAGACCCCGGCCTGATGGTGGAATTGAACTCAGGACCTTCTTGCTGTGCGGCAACAGTGCTAACCACCGTGCCACCGTGCATAGAAAAAAAGTAATTGGGTAAATGGGTGATTAAGGCAAGTTGTGCTCGTAGTGGAAAAGTACAATATAAGAACCAGTCCAATTGTTATTTGCAAACATCCTTGATGCTTCAATCTTAAGTACAGTCCCGATCAAAAGTTTAGGACCAGTGGATAAATGGCAAAAACTCGTATATTTAACATGGATCTTAGCGAGTTGTTAAGATCCAGCATTGCAAAATATGAGTTTTTGCCATTTTTCAAGTGGTCTTAAACTTTTGATCAATCCATCTCTAATAATGGGCTACAAACAACAGACCTTTGAGGTGGCAGAAATTATGGCTTATTTGAGAAGTTTCATTCGGGTTTCAGAGCTCATCACAGCACAGAAACAGCTTTAGTGAAGGTTACAAATGATCTTCTTATGGCCTCTGACAGTGGACTCATCTCTGTGCTTGTCCTGCTAGACCTCAGTTTAGCACGATATTTTTTTTACATAGATTAGAGCAATTCAATTCTGTTCAGTTCAGTTTCTTTTATATATTCCCAAATCACAACAGCAGCCGCCTCAAGGTGCTCTATATTGTAAAGTACTGACTATGTATTTATACACCACTCTGCATTTAATCATTATTTATTATTAATCTCTGGCTCGCTTCCACACTGTGCCTTTTATCCCATCTTCCTCCCATCATCCCTAACTGGTCGTTTCAGATAGCCACCCCTCTTTAAACCTTGTTCTACTTGTGGTTTCTTCCTTTTAAGAGTTTTTCCTTCCCACTGTCGCCAGGTCCTGGGTTATAAAGGTCATCTCATTGTTGTGGTTTTCTCTGTATTATTGTAGAATCTTAACCTTCCAGTATAAAGTGCCTTGAGGTTACTGTTGTTGTGATTTGGTTCTATATACATAAAAATGGATTTAAGGGAATTTAATAACCTGCCCCAGAGCTTCCAACACAGCAATAACTTTAAGCACACAGCCAAGATAACAAAGAAGTGTCTTTGGGACAACTATGTGAATGTCCTGAAGTGGCCCTGCCACTGCACAGACTTGAACCTGAGTGAACATCTCTGGAGAGATCTGAAAATGGCACCAATGCTCTGCATCCAACCTAATGGAGCTTGACAGGTCCTGCAAAGAAGAATGGAAGAAACTCCCCCAAAATAGGTTTGCCAGACTTGTTATATCTCAAAAAGATATGAGTGTGTCATTGCTGCCACAGGTGTTTCAACAAAGTACTGAGCAAAAGCTATGGATACTCTTGTTCATCTGAATCTTTATTTGTTTATTAATTAATTTCTATTTGTGTTATTTCAGTTATTACATTATATGTAGTATAGTATGATGATGTATTAAGGCAAGACAGGCAAGACAAAAAATAATATAGAGGCTATATTTAAAAAGAAATAAATAAATACAATAAAAATATAACAAAAAAATCCTCCAAACATACAGCACCTGGAACACAAAAATTAGAAAATACTCGGCTACCTATAGTGAGAGAGAGAGAGCGAGAGAG